GGCAAGCATGTTTGGTGTGACGGGAATTCTAACCCGCGACCCTCAGATTGCGAGTTGAGTGCCCTAACCACCTGGCCATGCTGGGCCCAAGATCTTTAGTAAAAATGCTTTATAAAATTATCTGACACAGTAAATTCAGAATTTTAGTGAACACTAATTCTACACCACTACAGCAAATATATGTGATCATGTTGTAAACATATTAGTGCACTAGGAATTAGTACACTACCAGAACTGTTCTGTAATAATGTTGAAAAGTACAGAACCTCGTGATCAACCCTACCAGTAGTTAAAGATGACACAAACAAAAAAATTGCAAGTTAAATGGTTTCAATGAATTTTTTTTATTTTATTATTATTATTATTATTATATATGAATAGTACAAGGTATTAGAATAAAATGTACTAATGGCTTTGTGAGATGTATGAAACTAATTTCGTTTCTTGCTACGGATTTTTAACAGCATACAAGAGGTAACCTTTTGTTTACAACTTACATAAAATAAGAAAGTTATTCATTCCACATTTGGCTCTGAAATGGCCTTAACAGAAAGGAGCTGATGTTTATCATTCCTACCAGTAATTGTTTTTAAAAATATAAAAAATAAAGCATGCACTAACTTCAGTATCTTACTATGAGAACTCAATATTACCTTGCATGTCAGCATTTTTGGCCTACTTGAGTCATAGATAACATTTATTTTATTCCATTTGTTGGTGAATTTTGCAGATAATTTGTCATTCTTGTTTGAATATATGTGCACTTGCTATGAAAATCATCTTTAATGTAGAGCTAATGTTGTAACATAACTGTCCTCATCAGTATACATCTTATTATATAGTTTTACTGTTATGATAGTGATGCCAAAGCAGGATTGAAAAGGGAGAAAGGCTGGGCTCATACTAATTATATGATGTCCAAGATTGGAGTTTCTGCTCTAACATTTTTGCAACAGAGAGAGTTTGATAAAGATTCTCGAGAAGACCTTGTGGTGAATGCGGTAAGTCCTAATTAAGACTAATTTTAATATTTCAAAGCAGTATTTTCACATTACAATTATTAGGTAAAATATATGAAAAATAAAAAAGTAACTATATTATGGTTTAAATACCTTAAAATACAGAAATGATTTAAGTAGTTATAAGAAAAACTTGCACACTTCAGCCAAAAAACTAAAATTGCAACAAAATTCATATTGTTGAAATGTTCAGAAAAAGTTTGTCTCCTGACTTGTCGCATTTGTTCAATATTTGTATTTACTTTTTTTTTTTTTTTTTGTTAAACAGATGTATATGATGTATAGTTAGTTTTTTTTTAATTTACTGGCTATATTGAGTAAGTGTTCATTACACATTACATAGTGTAAAAGTAATTAAAATGTTAATATTATGTGAAATGGCTAAGGAAATTTTGGTATTGGACCTGGTCCTCAGTTGAAACCACTTGCCTATTTGATAACTTAAGTCTAATTATTTATTAGAAGCTAATTAATAATTAGGTTTAAAGTTATAACATTGGCTTTAAAACATGACAACAAGAAATATGTTGCATATTAGCTCAAAACTGGAATGTAACAGTAATATAATTGAAAATGGATGTCTGTCTATCAAGTTTGTAATTAGCTGAGCCAATTTATTCTCATTGTTAGCTCTACATATCTTTTTCCAGGGTAGGGTCATACAGTTGGTTAAATATTTGTTCGTTAAGGTGTAAATAGTGAAGACTGTTTACAAGGAAGTGTCATATACAAGTTTTCCAATATAAATTTGATAGTTTTAAACTGTGGCTTGAACTACCACAATTCTATAGATTTTGTTGAATTTTGACATGTTCTAATAGCAGAATAATATAATTTGGAATATCTCTCCATCCATTGTATGTGAATACAAAGAAATACGTATAGGTACAAGGCCTAGTAAGAGTAACACTTATGGATTCATGTTATTTTCTGTGTGTACGTGTTGTTAATATTTGACAAAAGACATTTACTACTGCAAAATGTTTAAATCATAATTTGCATGTAACACCATAGCTTTAAAATTTTGTAAAAGCCAATTTTCAGAGTACAGTTTGTCATTTTATGTTAATTTAAAAATGTTACACTTTCATATTTTGAAGAAAAGGCATGTGCAATTAGCATGTTTGAATATGTTTTTATTTGAGTTCTTATATAGAATTGGTGTGTATAGAATTGGTGTAAAAGTTTGTTTACAAATTCAATGTTTTGTTGAGAATTCTGTTAATAACTACAAAAACATGGATGACTAACTGTAACCATTAAAGGTGAGGTGAGTACTTGCATTATAAGCATTGCTAAAGATGGTTTCTATTTTTAAAAGCAATTTTAGAAAGAGCATATCTTAGTGGCCAAATATTCAATTTTGTGTGAGTAGAAAAAAATGCAAATTGTGTGAAATGCCACAACTATTTTGCTAAATTTTGACATATGTTAATATTCATATATCAAAATTTAGTTTGGTACAGTAATTCTTTATAATACATTAATGAGTAAAAATGAACAGGAATAAGTATGATAAATGTGTAGTAACAATAGATCTCAAAACTGTGGAAAGTTCTTTTGGATATTCTATTATGCTACTTGGACGTTGGTAGTTTTAAACTGTCTCATTTATGACTTGCGTAAATTATAATTAATTCATCCTGTAATATTGCACTTTGCGACATTAACCCTATGTGTACAGGTGGAGTAAAAATGTGTACGTTATGAACTTTTTAAGAGTTAAAAAATTAAAATTTACATACACAGCTTTATTAATGTAAATCAACTTGGCAGTTAAATGTAACTTATAAATCAAATTTTAATACTATACGATTAATCTGATAAGGAGATATTTAAATAAATTCTCAATCTTCACTTTTTTTCACATGATTCTTCTTTGCTCTGAATTCTCCATTTTATATTTTCTTTCTATCTCTTGTATGGGTTTCAGAATATCCAACAATTATACACACCAACTGTAGATATTGACAGGCTAGAATTTAAAATAAGAACCTCCCATCTTTTTTTTAATTTTCTGAGATATCAATAAATTGATCACTCACACCTACTTGTCAATGGTGTGAGTGATTTAACAATAGAAAAGTCATCCTATGAATTCTGTGATTATGACAACTTTGTAATATATTTTGGTAAACGGTGCTAATTCCCAAGCACATTTTATGGGTATAGACTGAAGTCTGCTCCATTAAGTAATGAGAAATTTTATAGGTTAGTTATAAAGCCAGATAAATTATAGTAGTTTTGGGGCATTCTACTTTATGATTGAATTATTGTTTGTGTTTCAAAATGTATATTTAAAAGCTATATGAATTAATTTCTGGACAACTAATATAGTGTGAAAAAATAGCAAAATATGTTCCCAAGTCCAAATAGCCTATAAGCAATGGTAACTTGTAAATTTCTTGTTTTTATGTACATCTTTCATTTATTGGCATATATTTTTGGAACAAAAGTAACGCCCCCCAGTGGCACAGCGGTATGTCTGCGGACTTACAACGCTAGAAACCGGGTTTCGATATCCGTGGTGGGCAGAGCACAGATAGCCCTGGTGTAGCTTTGTGCATAATTAAAAACAAAAGTAACTGAAATTAAAAACTTGTTGGGTTATACAAGGAAAAATAAAATAAAAAATTTCATTTTTTTTTACTCCACAAGGAACTACGAGAACATGCATAGATATCACATGATATAAAGTAAAACTATTTACCCTAAACTCTGCACTCTCACTGGGTGACTTATTGCTTGTTACAGTACCTAGACACAGCTCTTAATTCTAATTTTCTATTATAATCTTTAGTTATTATAGGGAAAAAAGGTATTATTATTTTTGACATGAAAATTACCTTTAACTCAGACT